CCACTCGGAATGGTTGGCCGAACATCTCCTTCAGTATATTTCTGCCTCTCGGGTAGCCCATTTCCGGGTCCAGCATTGCACACCCTTGTATAGCCTCTTTGGCCTTCCACCGACAGTAGTGTAGCAAAAACAGAAACCTTTGCCCTGCATCGTCGGTTTTGCATTCAACGAAATCTTCGTATTGGCGAGTAAATTGGCCATATTGTTCGGGATTACTATCGAAAGGTGTCAGTTCAACTCTTGGCAAATCGACGTTTACATGATCATACGTTCTTTGTTGAGGGACGAATTCTTTATTCGGAGAGAAGCCACGGTGTGCAGTCTCAGCTCGAGGTGATGTTGTGCCGTTGTATTCGGTTCTTTCACGTTTGGCCTGTTCTATCTGCTGTCTAGCTAATCTNACACATGAAACAGCACTGACAGGACCAACAGATCTAACATTTTCTAGCGAACCAAAATGACTCACAGCCCACCCCCCCAGTGACTTGCTGGGTTACTTCCTGTTGGGTTCCAGTTTCCTTGGTTCCTCGTCTGGGCATCTTCGAAATAGTTTTCTCGTGTGATTCCGATTTGAGTAATATAATTCAACCAATTCGCACTTGAGTGACGCGTAGCCGAACCGATACGAAACCCGAATTAAAAACACAATTGATCCGCAATGTTCCACGGTACTGAATTAACGAAATCATTACAAAATGTACAATAAAGCAAACCTCAAATATGCGGTCAAAAGCACTCAAGTAAGCGAGCCAAATAAGATTTCCGAAGAGAGGCAAACAGTCGCTCCCGTTCTCAAACCAGGCCAAATTCAAATGTGCCGGACATCCAAATTAACAGATAAATAATGATGTGCGGTGTTCGTGATCGAGAATTGCCAATATAAGAGCAACACAGAGATGAAGTTATTTCACCATAAATTATTATGGGTTCGGAAGGATTTTCAAAACATTCAGCATAAAATACAGCACTGCCTCCCTAACTACAAACATCACTCATGCACCCCGTTACCCCTCAGACACTGCATTCATCTACACACCAAAATGCTGATCGGAGCGGCCGCGTAATGCAGCCCTGGGGCAACCTGTCGGTTCAGTGCCAAGTAAGCTGTGGATGTGGCTCTGGAAAGGTGAGGGTGGAGACCAACCCCATTCCCTCTATCTACCTATCGCACAGCATTTCTCTACTCTTTCGCCCTGACTGCTGGAAGAATGATTGCATGGTCTGGTTGTGTGTCCTGGCTGTTTAGAACGGTTTTGTAACGGTGGGTTCCATTGGAACACTGTGAAGCGTGATGGTAAGAGCCTTTTGAACCCCATTTATGTGGTCTTGACCATTGGTAACGTACGAGCGGAAAAAAGAACAGTTGAACAGTAGCATTCCTAACTGTCTCTTGTTTCAGATACAATCGAATACAGAGTGACAGCTAACCACTCCGAGGACCTCCGTCCGTAACTGAGCAATAAACCTACCACCAGACTCCGGGTTACTCGAAAACTTCGGTTCCCACTCCTGTCAATCCCCGTGAATCCCGCATTAGAGATTTGAACCCTAGGTAGTGACCATTTGAGACTTGATTGGAATACGCGTACCTTGTTTCTGACATACCTGTGAGTATAGTCAGAAAGTCTGCCAAGCATTCAGCGTCGTACTGACATTCTCGTTCTGGGACCAGTAAGGAGGTAACCCGGTATACAATAAGATATGCAAAAGACTGCATGCATTTATGGATGATATAGATGTGTGTGTGTTGAGTTCGATTGAACGTGTTCGTGGGTGTAGGTGCAAACACGTTGGGTGGTATAAAGAAGGTGATACGCAATTTCGGGAAATGGGTAGGCTAAGGGACTCTAGTCTGTCTTCTTTCGTTTTGGCACCATAAGAGGCTAATCTATCATGTAAGGTTGACTGGCTTTGCTTGTGTATACACGGCCGNAACGCAAGATGGTGGCTAACCGTCATTGGGGTGAGTGGGTGAGCTGCGACAGCTTGTTACAGACGGATTTCTGCGATACATACACCTCGGAGAAATGCTGATACCTCCTGAAGTTATTTACTCTCTTCATACTTCGTATCTTATCCATTGTCACTATCTCATTATGTTGGCCATAAATGCAACTCACGCAGTTGCAGACTAGACCGACTTCACACTAGGCCGTTTTTCCCAAATGATGAATAAACGTTTCTAAATGTCGCTCTAATTTACTGTGTTTTTTAGATGAGGTAACCTCGAGGTTAGATGAGGGCAAAGCTGTGGAAGTCCGTTATTTAGACTTTTGCAAAGCTTTTGATTCCGTTAATCAGAAGTTTCTGTTAGCTTAGCTCCAACACAAGGGGATAGGGGAGCAGATATATAACTGGATCACGGAATTCCTGACCGTTCGTACGTTTTACGTGAGGATTGGAAACAAAGCATCGGCCCAAGTCATACCCACTAGTAGAGTACCACAGGGATCAGTGCTTGGCCCCCTACTGTTCCTCATTTTTATAGACGATGTCAAGATCGTGGGATCAGCCAGTCGGCAGCAATTACAGGATGACCTGCGTAGAGCAACGGAATGGGCAACAGTATGGGACCTCCCACTGAATNCTTTCCCGTGCTGGTGAACAGTTGTCAATCCATTTAGGTGGAGGGGATCTCACTACAGGAATTGTAAAAACCAGCAGAGACTTAGGGACATCGGTAGCGGCAGATTTCCGCTGGGAAAATCAGTGTGTACTGGCTGCAGCGAGGGCGAGGAGACAGCTGTTCAGGGTCAAGTCGGTACTATCCCGTAGGAAACCCGACGTATTCCTACCCCTGTACAAAGCCATAGTGGGGCCACACCTGGAGTACTGCGTGCAAGCTTGGGCACCCTTCCTCAAAAAGGATTCAGCCTGTTTAGAGAAAGTTCAAAGA